ACAAGCCACATTTGTGGAGAATTTGTGATATTGTTGGCACATGCACACAATGACCATTCTTTGTCATAAATTCCTGCAGCTGCTTCAGAGTTGCTGTAGACCTCTTATATTTTTATATATTATTTATTTATTTATTATTTATTTTTATATTATTATATAAATATATATATATTTTCCATCACATGTCCCCTTAGGGGCTCCGTAGTTTGGAAGAGAATGCAGCTATGCTGCTAAATTAAAAGATGCTTAAAGTACTGCGTATTAAAGTTAATTCATAAATTAGAATATTCTAGATAAACTAGTTAACTAGTCAATTTCAGAACTGCTGTTGAACAGAATCATAACCAAATATCAGATTTCATGACGCATTGATTGCATCATTTTGTGAAGTGTTGTAATCAGATTGAAGAGTAAATTCATTACTGGTGAGCTCAAGCCTCGTCACTGTGGCTGCATGTGTGAGTGACGCTGACACAGCCGACCTCAGTCAATCCACTGTTGCCTGGGCAACCCAGGTCAAGCTGATTCGGGTCCACCTACCCATAATGCTTTAGTGTGTAAATCTGCTGTGATGTCTTCAGGCCAGGGGTAGGCTGGCTCACGTGCACCTTTACTGAAGATGAAGTGGTTTGTGTGGACTCATTGGATTAGATTTACGACTGAAAGTGTGATCTTGTCATAATTGGATATGGCTTTACTGATTATTTCGAAATAGACTGTTGCATTCTTAAAGAGCACATAAGATTTCCTTTGCCGTGTGTTTGTTGTGAGTGTGAGTGTGTGAGTGTGAGTGTGTGAGAGACTGTGAGTGTGTGAGAGAGTGTGAGTGTGTGATGAGTGTGAGTGAGAGTGTGAGTGAGAGTGAGAGTGAGAGTGAGAGTGAGAGAGATCCATTCAGTTGTTGTTTTAGTGTTGTTAACACTCAGGGTTCAGTGGAGATGCACAGAGTGCTGTAGTTGTGTGGCGGTGCTCTCAGCTTGTCTCATTTGTGTCTGGTCCTCTTACACAATCTCTCTCTTACACCTAGATTGCAGGAGTGATTGAAAAAAAAAATCAATTCACTTTAGGCACCTGATTCTTTTTCAAATGATTCTGCGTTGATTCACGACAGAACAGTTTACAATGAAAGGTAATTATCCTGGATGGTGACTGAAGTGACTGTGATGAATCCCTGACAATAGTTCACCCAAAATGATTTGTCATCATTTACTTATGTTGTTCCAAACCCATGTGACTTTCTTTCTTCTGTGCAACACAAAACATGATATTCTGAAGAAATGCAGTTACTATTCACAGGGACTGAAGCAGCTTTTAGGCTTCAAGAGGACACACAGTGCCATAAAGCATTATAATAGAAAACTATACACCAAAATATACTATATTTTACACCTTTAGTTAACTGACAGCATTGTGGGTTGAACGGAACAGTACAAAGTCGCTCATTAATCAGACATCAAGACGTCTCTGATGAACCTGACAGGTACAGGGTCTGAGTAACCATATGGGCAATTAGGCACGTGGCCAGGGGCACCATGTCCTGAAGAGGCAGCAGTGCAGGCTCTTAGTCATATTTACAATGAATTGACAAAAAAATTATGGTTTTGCTGGATTGAGTTCGCACATTCTTTGCATTTGAAAGTCAAGAAGTTGTGGGCAATATTGGCCCAAGAAGTGTGGACGGACACTTAGGGCCTGTCAAAATGCCCACACTTGCGGATATTTGAATCTGATCACTTGTCTACTTACAGTACGTGACGTGGGGAAGTCGTGGCCTAATGGTTAGAGAGTCAAAGGTTGCGGGTTTGAGTCTCAGGTCCGGCAGGGATTGTAGGTGGGGGGAGTGAATGTACAGCGCTCTCTTCCACCTTCAATACCACGACTGAGGTGCCCTTGAGCAAGGCACCGAACCCCCAACTGCTCCCCGGGCGCCGCAGCATAAATGGCTGCCCACTGCTCCGGGTGTGTGTTCACGGTGTGTGTGTGTTCACTGCTGTTTGTGTGCACTTTGGATGTGTTAAATGCAGAGCACTAATTCCAAGTATGGGTCACCATACTTGGCCACATGTCACGTCACCAATCACCAGTCACCAGTATTTCCTGCATTTGGTCCAAGTGTTGAAGTTTGTATGAATATCACAAGTGTGTGTGGAACTGCTGATTAGCCAATGATACACACTTACAACAACGTGTTGTAAAAATGCAAGTGACGTTTTTATTTAGATTTTCAACTATGCACTTTAAAATAATCTTGTAAATGTCTGTTCAGCAGTCCTTATGTAACAGACAACACGATTTAGTAATTGTGATGCTTCTAATTTAGTCATATAAAATAGCTAGTGTTTTACAAAATACACATATTCATTTATACACATACTCATCTCTACACCAATACAATGTGCAACACTTTACATTTTACTACCGAATTATATGTAATAAGTAATTAAACTTAAACTGTAAATTTTTCTGTGAATTCTTGGGTTTTACAATCAAACTATGAAATAAATAATTAATTTAACTTACACGGTATAGTTTTTACTCAAATTTTCAGGTTTTACTACCCAAATTATATGTAATATCTAATTAAATTAATTTACACTGTAAAGTTTTCTTTGAGTTCTTGTTTTACTACTAAATTATATGTAATAACTAATAAATTTACCCTGTAAAGTTTTCCTTGAATTCTCACATTTTACTACCAAATTATATGTAATATGGAATTGATATAATTTGCACTGTAAAGTTTTTCTCGAATTCTCATGTTTTGCTATAAAATTATATGCAATATCTAATGAATTTAACTTACACATTAAAGTTTTCCTCATTCTTGTTTTACTACCAAATTATATGTAATTAATTTAATTAAAACCGATGTTTTCCTCAAATTCTTGTTTTTTTTTTACTATCATATTTACTAATTAATTTAACGTACACTATATAGTTTTCCTCAAGTTCTTGTTTTACTACCAGATTATATGTAATATCTAATGTATAGTTGTATAGTGTATAGTTTAGTTAGTATAGTTTTCCTCATGTTGTGCTACCAAATATCAACTTATCTCATATCTAAAAGTTTTCCTTGAATTCTTGTGATTTCAGGCCACATGAGTTCTTGAACCTGATGAATGATGGGATGCACTTGGCCTCAAAAACGAAGTGATATTAGAGATAGTGTGGGTTAAGGGCACTGAGCATTGGTTTTTTTTTACGCACTTATTGCATGCACACATTCTGAAGTGCCTAGGCCGCAAGTGTGGTACTGAGACAGACACATACTGTGAAAATCCACTGGAAATAGTGTACCATCCGGACAGTTTTAAAGTACTACTTTCAACACTGCTGTAAAACAGATACGTGACTTTAACCGAACCGTCTCTTCCTGCAGCGACTGCCATGACCACAGACGAGGCGGAGAGCGTTCATAAGAAACAGGTGTGCGAACAGCAGCAGGAAGAGGAGGAACCTGCTGCACAGGAGCCAGGCCCCGCTGACACCGCTCAGGACAGCCCCTCCAGCACCTCGCCGCCCCCTGGGGTCTCGGAGGAGGAACAGCAGCTGAAGCCGCGTCAGCGCACGTCCGCTGGCCGCGGCCTCTCCCGCCTCTTCTCCTCCTTCCTGAAGCGCCGCTCACAGTGCTCTGAGGGGGTGGAGACGGAGAGGGCCCGGGAGAAGAACAGCCAGGAAGAACCCAAAGCTCCCATAGCGGACCCTGAGCCAGAACTGCGCATAGAGGGCGATGTTGCTCTAGACCAGCACTCAGTCAGCAGTGCTGAAAACCAGGTGAGAAAGAGAAACAGATGTGTTCAAGTAAAGGTTACATTTGTAATTGATGCTAAAATTAGAGCCAGATTTAAAGGGGTCATACGACGTTGCTAAAAAACATTATTTGGTATATTTGGTATAATGAAATGTGTTTACGCGGTTTAAAGTAAAAAAAAAAACACATTATTTTCCACATACTGTACATTACTGTTTCTCCTCTATGCCCCGCCTTTCTGAAACGTGTCGATTTTTACAAAGCTCATCGGTCTGAAAAGTGAGGTGCGCTCTGATTGGCCAGCTATCCAGTGCGTTGTGATTGGCCGAATTCCTCAAGCGTGTGACGGAAATGTTACGCCCCTTACCAGGTTCAGGAAACATTCCTCCGTAAGATGCGCTTCACACACTCGAATATTTGGGTTGTACTGTTCTGCAACTGTTGTAAATAAAACATAACTACTGATTTCTAGTTGTGTCCTCTTTTGGAAGGCCAAACAAAGTAGTTTGGCTTTCGCAACGAAACGAGCCTTCTTTCTTTGCGTATTAATTTGGGCGGTATTATGCAAATCTTCCCACACTGTGACATAGATATGTGGGGGCGTGTTTGAACGGTGCGTGTTTTTAGGAAGGCGTGGCTGAGCGTGCATTTTTATAAAGAATATCTCTTTGGGTTTGAGACTTTAATCTTTACTGATCTTCTGTATGCACGAATAGCTTTTAACACTCCAAAGACAAAGGAAAACATGAAATCGCATCATATGACCCCTTTAAGATTTAACTCGGACAGAAATTCAGTGATGTCAAGGCTGTTGTAATGTTTTGGTTATCAAGACGGTTGCGCTTTCTCCAACGGTAGAGCAGTGAAATTTTTGCATTTAAGAGAATCCTTACTAAAATGTATCTCATCATTTTGCAAATTTTGGTAGCTCATTCAGGTGACCATTTTGCTTCTATTTCAGCACATAATAATAATAGTAATACATTTATTTTATATAGCGCCTTTAAAAGTTGCTTTCTCAAAGCCTCAGTTTAGGCCAGGGGTCACCAAACTCGGTCCTGGAGGGCCGGTGCCCTGCAGAGTTTAGCTGCAACCCTAATCAAACACACCTGAACCTGCTAATCAATGAGTTTGGTGAGCCCTGGTTTAGACAGTGTGACGTGAAGAGCAAAAGTTAATGGCTTGATGATGCATTAGATTCATTAAATATGATTATAGCACATTTGTTAAATCTAACATCATACCTGTTCCAGATATTATATATCTGTAAATTATGATATTATTTGTTTTATATGGTTTTTATATATTTTTTTTGTATATTTATATTTTTATTTTGTATATTTATGTATGTTTTATATATTTGTTTTTATATTGAATTATTGTTTATATGGTGGAATTTACTTGAAGTGGAATTGAAGCATGATATATAAAACTTTTCTTTTTTAACAAACCTCTATAAAAAGGACAAAATGCACAATAAAAGTAGTGATGCACTGAAATAAATGTTATTACCGAAATCAATTACATTTTACAATTTTACATATTACAATTACATAATCATGTAATTAATCATATTTATTTAACTATTAACACTCAAATCCAAGTATAAACATTTAAATTGCACATAAGGCAGATTTTATATCAACTTTTTAATGATATACTTATGTTTCTACTCTAAGTCGTTGTTAAATATATACATTTAAATGGTGGCTGTCAGAAAAACCTGTTTTCATGACAGATTTATAAAAAAAATGCATTAAATATTGAAGACAGGGTAAAAATATAATCTAAATGTAATATAGACCATTTTTAAGGAATGTAAACAATAACAATCTAACGCAACAGTTCTAACACTTTTCCAGTTTTACATTTTTAATTTCCATAACTTCTGAGCATCAGAAGTTGTTTTGAAGATGTGTTACTGACGTTTTTTCGCACTTGAAACACTGATTGGGCGATTACATGAGTCATGATACATTTTAGTAAGTTGTACTGTTTTTTTTTTCAACATACCTTTCATATTCATGTCAAATAATGTTTAGTGATGTTTTATTCAGGCATCAACTGAAAATAGCATAGACTAAAAGACTAAAGATCTTGGTTGATCAAAATGAAGATCCATTAAAATTGAGAAATTGATATTGTCAAACCAGCCCTAGCATCCACACAGCTGACAAGTTAGCCTGTTGTGGTTCATCCATTGTGTTTCAGAAAATAGACACTGACACTGTCAAAATGTCTCATTAGAGTGGTGCTAATTAAACGTCACCATTTCAGTGAATGATTTCGACCCTCCAAATCTGTTTTGGCTAAAATAAAAGTGTTCCACATGACTAAATCCTAAGTCTTCTGAAGAAAAACAGTAAAGCATCTCCATCTTTTAAAAGTCCGCATAACCCTCAGCCTACTGGTGTGTGGGCTTACTGACAGATATGACCTCAGGGTGACAACTGGATGTTTACACTTTTAAAAGTGTAAATACACTGCATGTAGCAAGGGATGTCTGTGCAAAGGCAACTGAACTGTGGAGCTTCACACATCTCACATTCACACGCTGAGTTACGGTCAAAGGTTGTGTGTTAAACCTTCTCTGTGCAGCTCTCATCTGCTCCAGCAGCACAGTACACTAAAAGCTTTCTGAGAGGCTGTTCATACTGAATGGCTGGTATTTTAGGCATTGCTAACTGCTGTCAACATGCTTCAGTTTTTTTCCCCAATGCTAGCTTTTCATTATTTATTGTGCTCTCTTTTCTCTTGAATATTTGAATCGTTTTAAAGAGATGGCTCACCCATAAATGAACATTTTGTCATAATTTACTCACCCTTATGTTGTTCCAAACCTGTATGAGTTTCTTTCTTCTGTTGAACACAAATTAAGATATTTTGAAGAATGTTGGTTACCAAACAGTTGCTGGTGGCCATTGCGTTCAAAAGTATTTTTTTTCCATTCTATAGAAGTCAATGACTACACCTTGAGGGTGAGTAAATAATGACTGAATTTAAATATTTCGGTGAATTATCCCTTTAAGGTATAATTTGCTTAGTTTATATCCAACAATTTTTGCAAATGTTAAAAAAAAAAAAAAAAAAAAGAAGTTGCAGTGCAACATAAGTAGCGACAGATCATTTCTAGAGCATTGTGATGTACAAATGTGTAATGAAAAAGAACAATCAAAATAGGAGGCAAATGCTCATGAGCTTGCAGGGATGGGTTTAAGTGGACTAAATGATTGGAGAAGTCCTACGTTCACCAGATTCAAAATTAAACGTAAATTAAACAAAAAATGGAACATATGCACACATTAATCGTTCATAAAAAGATCCATAACATGCATTAAAAATAAAGTTAATTTTCATTTCATTCCGACTTCAGGAAGGTTTTTCTGAAGTAAGTCAAAATGTGCATTAAGGTGATAGAAACGCATAAACGATGACATGTTTTAAACAGTTGGACGTGGAGGAAGAGGCAACACACTGAGGATTAATTTACATTTATGCATTTGGCCCACTGTAAAAAAATTATTAATTCTAAAATTAAAATTTTTTAATTAAAAATAAATTAAAAACTTAATTAAAATTAAACATTTAAGGCAGCAACTGAACTTGTCTTTGCACATAATTGAATTGGCTGTACAAGTCATTTGAATCCTTAATGAAATCTACTTGGCACGAACTGATTGGTATCTGCTGCATAATGAGCTTGCTGCTCAACATTTCAATTTTGTGGTTCTGAAACCCTCCACCTCCCCCAGCACCACCTGTATAGATCTGCTATGGGTAATTTCCTATGCTATTTGTACAGCAGCAGTTTGTCTTACATGCTCACAGAAGCATGTCTGTGGATGTACTGGCAGAATCGGCAAGTCTTTGTATTTGCTCTGCAGGATCAGCCATTACCATGCCAGAATATTCCAAGAGTTGTTATGATTGAATATTAAAAATGTTGAAGTAATGGAAAAACTTTACCATGACTCACTGATCATGTAATTATTGGTGGTCTGCTTTAAACCATGAGGATACATTTGCAACATTTTTCATAGTTAGTGTTAGTATCATCAGAGACTGAAAAAATGGCTTTTAGTTTACACATAGTTTGTTTACACATACAAAATGATTGTTTATTGTTAAGCAAGTTGGCCTAATTTCAAAAACTCTGAAAGAAGCATTCTGTAAGAAACCCTGAATCTAGTAAAGGTACAAATTTGTCATCCTCCAGCAAATTAGTTGTGTAATAATCTAATCTTCGGATATTTAAAATGTTTAAATTTGTCTTCCTCCAGCAAATCGTAGCGGATCAGAAGGAAGACGCCGAGCTGGAGTCCGGTAAGGGAGAAATGGGGGAGAAGGGGGAAAAGAAGGAGAAGAAGGAAAAGAAGAAAGAGAAGAAGGAGAAAGCAGATAAGGAGAAGCCAGAGAAGAAGGAGAAGCCAGAGAAAAAAGAGAAAGCAGAGAAGAAGGAGAAAAAAGAGAAGAAGGAGAAGAAAAATGAGGACAAGGCCAAAGGAGAGGAGGGAGAGAAAGACAAGGAACGCGAGAAGGAAAAAGAGAAAGTAGAGGAAGAGGCCAAGCCGGAAGATGCATGTGCGGCAGAAACAGAAGTAAAGGAGGAAGGAGAAAAAGAGGAAGAGAAACAGGAGGAGAACACGGTGGAGGAGGAGGAGGAGGAGGAGGAGGAGGGGAAGAAGCAGAAAGCATCTCGCCGCCCCAGGATCATGCACTGCAAAGTCAAGCTGCTGGATGATTCTCTCTTCGAGTGTGAGCTGGAAGTAAGCGACATACGCACACACACAGAGCACACAACTGCCGCTTTTGTTGCTTATCAAGTGCGGCGTATCGTTGTCTAGTCCCAGGAGAGCGACTCTGAAACTCAAGCGTTGCTCAAGGGCTTTTACTTCCTTTGCTAATTAACTCTCAGACTACAGAGAGACTATTTCTGCTGATGTGACACTTTGGACTGTTTTTGTTGCCATCGTACCGTGTGGTTCATGTCTCTACAGAGACAGCATCCTAAGCGAAACAGAACATCCTTATTAGCAGCAACTATTAGTCTCGCTTTACCTTCAGAGCTGTTTCTGCTGTTAGCATGTAGTGAGCCCAGCTAACTGTTCAATTTCCACACAAGAGGCATGTTCAGAATGGAATACAAGTCAACTATTTTTTATAGAACATGAACTGTATACGTCAAAGATAGTAGGACAAACAGTCTGCATAATTCCACGTTTCAAACAGCAGTGTGCTACTTTGTCACATGACCTCCCTACTTTGCATGTGAACTAGTTATCATCTTGTAAAAATGTCTAAGTCTTTGGCAGTCCCACAATAGTAATTAATTAAAAACATGATGTCCCTAATAACTTCCAGTTCATTCACCCTGGAAAGTGAAGTCGTACACATTGCATTGTGGGATACAGTATCCAGCACAATGTGCTCTGTTGTGTACTTTGTAATATGTAGTCATCTGGGTATTCCATGCATAGAGACAATTTGCTTACTGTGCACAGTATACATTTTATATTATGGAAGCACATTTCTGCCACATAGTATCTCATAATTTTCACTTTTTATGTCATAATCATGAGTCATGATTATGCGATAAATAGCTGAAATGATTAACGTCAAAAACGTCTGTCATATTGACATTGTTGAACTGACATTGTCATATCTCATAATTTTCGGCTTTTGTCTTAACTTACTTTTTATTTTATAATATTGATTTACTAGCATAATTATGACTTTTTATGTCATCATTTCAAATTTTTATGCAAATTGGTTAGTTTTTACTTATGTCATAATTTTGGCTTATATCTCAATTTTGACTTAGTATCTCGTAATTTTCACTTTTTATGTCATAATCATGAGTTACGATTATGCGATAAATACTTGAAATTATGGGGTAAAAAAAGTAAAAAAATTGTCACATTAACATTGTCATATCTCATAATTTCAACTTTTTCTCATAACTATGACTTTTTATCTTATAATTTCAACTTTCTGACACAATTATGACGTTTGTCATCATTTCAGCTATTTATGTCAATTGTTTTTGTTAACTTTTTGTCATTTTGACTTTTATTCTCATAATTCTGACTTACTGCCATGATTATGACTTTATTGGTAATTTCAATTTATGTAATAATTTTGACTTTTCATCTCATAATTATGACTTAGTATCTCATCATTTTCACTTTTTCTGTCATATTTTTGATATTATAATTCTGATTTACCAAAGCATTATTTTTTCATGTGTGGCAGAAAATGGGTTTCCATACTATAGAGTGAAGGGATAGAAAAAAATATTACAGTAGTATGCTACTCCATACATTACATCACTTGCTAATAGAGCTGCTCAATTCATATTCCCTCAGAAATGTCTTGGACTCTCGTGTTTTGTTCTACAAAATAAATTACACACAGTCGTATCTCTTGTAAATGTTGAAGTCACCGTATGCTTTAAAAACATGATGTTGCTTACAAGTTTCTATAAAAGGTCAGTTGTCAGTTGTTGTCTGACTAAAATACTAAAATAGAATTGCTTCTGTGTTTTAACGACATGTCTTTGTTTCCAGAAACATGCCAAAGGCCAGGATCTGTTTGCAAAAGTGTGCGACCACCTGAACCTATTAGAGAAGGACTATTACGGTCTGGCCATATGGGAGACGCCAACCATAAAGGTGCCTCAATCTGTTAGCACTCACTCTCGCTCTTTTAATATTAACTGTAGGCAGCTATTTTTTTTTTCTTGATACAGCATGTTTTCTTCAGGGTTAGATTAGCTTTTGGAGTGTAATTACTGTCAAAACTGAAAGATATGTACATGTTTTTCTTTTAAATTATGGCTGTATTGTCTTTTAAACGATTTGCTTTCTTAACTTGCATCAGAAGTTCTGATAGCAGTAAAACCCTGTTTTTTAACAGTAACTAACTATGAAGTTTTAATAATCATTCTACGATAATTTTCTAAAAATATAATTATAAGTTCACGCCACAGTTATAACAATAGCTACAAAGACAAATTTTTTTTTTCAGCTGTTGAACGATAAAAACATTGACAACCAATCAGAATCCACCCGACTTTAAAGAGCTTGAGCTTTTAAAGTGGCAGACGACTTAAATGCAGTTTAATGAGTGTTTCATTGGTGTGGATACTAATATAGCCATAATAGCCATAATGTAGTTCTTGGTGTACACAGGCCTTTAGTTAAAGCTTTATTTGTCTTTCAGACATGGCTGGACTTCACCAAGGAGATCAGGCGGCAAGTACTAGGTGAGTAGCATCATGCCGTTCATCTCTTTGACATATGAAATAACCATCAGAAAATCAGTGTCTAGTTTTCTGTAGGTCCTGTTTTAAATTATGTTTGTATTTATCTAGGCAGCAACTATGATTTCACATTCAATGTGAAGTTCTACCCTCCTGATCCAGCCCAGCTATCAGAAGACATCACCAGGTGAACAGCACTTTATTTTATGGATAATATGCTAACTGGTCAGATGATTTGACTTTTAAATAAACCTCCTCAATCACCCGTCCCTTTCCCTGTCTCTCCTTAATGTTTCCTGTTCCTGATCTCTGGGGTTATAGCCATATAGAAATAAAATTGATTTTGTGGTATGGCTTAGTGGGATTATCGGATTGCAAAGGCTGCGATTTAACTAAATAAATATATGTGCTGCTGTATATGTGTTTTAGAGTGAGGCACGGCACTGTGTTCATTTAGTGTAAACCGAGCCTGGGACGCTGAAACACCATATCATGAGCCGCACGCGTGTAAATGAACACAGTGCCGTGCTTCACTCTTAAATACACAGTGCATATATTTATTTATTTAAATCACAGCCTTCGTGATTTGATAGTCGCACTAAGCCCTATTTCAAAATTGATTTTATTTCTATAAAGCTATAATCCTAGACATCTGGGACAGGAATGAAGTACAGCACTGTGTTCATTTACTGTAAACTGAGCCAGTCTGAGATACAAAAACACTGTATTTTGGACAGTGCCAAGCTTCACAAACATGTGAAATATTTATTTGTTGGCAATCCACTAAAATAAAACTTTGATAGTGTAATACTTAAAAATGAAATTATTATTATTATTATTTTATAGTCATATTGAATGGGCCAACAGTGGAAATGCGGAATATAATTTTTTTTTATTATTATTATTATTTTTTTTTATCTTTATGGCTATTGAAAGAGGTTTGAGTTGGTTTATGTAAAGATTATACCCAAGTGTGAACATACAAATTTTTGTTCAGTCCTGAACTTTAGTACGGAGCCCCGCACATGACATGCAAGAAAGAATAAATAAATCGTGCGCACGATTTACTAATTCGTTCCCTCGATGTTCTAAAACGTGCACACGATTACTATTTCGTTCCCTCGATTTACTATTTCATTCCCTCGATTTGCTAAAACGTGCACACGATTACTATTTCGTTCCCTCGATGTACTAAAATGTGCACGATTACTATTTCGTTCCCTCGATTTGCTAAGATGTGCACACGATTACTATTTCGTTACCTCGATGTACTAAAACGTGCACACGATTACTATTTCGTTCCCTCGATTTGCTAA